TTCATTTGTTTTGCATGCACCGGGCTCGGCGCATCATACTAACTGCATTGTACTTTCAATTCCAAATTGAATACATGTTAGTTGTAGCATTTCATATACTATGTCTAGAATAGTCGAGCCTGCTATAGTTGCACTTTTGTATGTGTTGCATTAGGCATTTCTGTATAATTAGGATCATGCATTGATTTCTAATTAACTTCTGTTTTGGCTTGGAGTACTCGGTACGTTTTATATTTTAGCATCCTTGCATACGTGTGAGTGACTGCCATGATAGCATGCTTACCATGAGACTAATTGCTTATGTGATATATTTGCCTGAATGCCTGTGGGTGAAGGTTGGATTATTTGGATTGGAACAATTCGTTAACTTTTTTTTAAGCCCACTAGATAGTGGCAAAATCATGTTTTTTTTTAAGCCCACCCGATGGTGGCAAATCCACGTCTTAACCTACTTGCGGGTAACACCATCAAACCATTTTCAAAATAAACAAACATGAAACATTTTGTTCCAATTCAGGCGATCCAATCTATACTTGTATGCTGTGCGCATCACATAATAAATCTAGGCTAATAACCGAAATAAGAACGCATAATGTTTTCAAAAATAGATATCATGATTAGTAGAGGCCGATCTTTGATCGGGCAAGCGGGGGTGCTCACGAAGTGACCTTCCCCAATCGTACCCAAGTTCCCGAGCCAAGGCAACTTTGGTGATGACGGACACGTGGCCTTGGGCAACGAGTCAGGGTTTCTTAAATTTCCCAAAAATAAAACATTTAGGTGGCGACTCTATATCTGACAAAGCAGTTCATGTTTGGCACTTCTTTCAAAATCTATTTTCTCAAAACGATTTGCCGGATTTGAACTCTTTGGTTCAGATTTAGAACCGTGACAATTTGAGAGTCCTGAACTGTAGTGACCCCAATATGAACAGAGCGGGGGGGGACTCGCCCTCCCGGGCCGTTCGAGGACGTCTACAGCATGTTTCAACTAGCATACTTATGATAGCATGTTTGCATTCATTCATCTGTCTTGTATGCACCGGGCTTGACGCATCATACTAACTGCATTGTATTTCAATTCCGAGTTGAATACTTGTTAGTTATAGCATTTCACATGCCATTTTTAGAAATAGCCGAGCCTATTGTAGTTGCATTCCTGCATGTGTTGCATTAGGCATTTCAACATAGTTAGAATCATACATAGATTTCTAACATAGCTTCTGTTTTGGCTTGGAGTACTCGGTAAGTGTTTATGCTTTAACATCCTTGCATATGTGTGAGTGACTACTATGATAGCATCTTATCATGAGGCTATGTGCTTATATGATATACCTGGCTGAATGTATGTGAGTGAAGGTTGGATTATCTAAATTAGAATAATGCATTGACTGTGAATTTTAAACCCACTTGAGAGTGGCAAACCATCACGTTTTCTGAACGCACCCGAGGGTGGCAAATCCACGTCTTAGCCTACTTGCAGGTAGCACCATCAAACCATTTTCAAAATAAACAAACATGAGATGTGTTGTTCCAATTCAGGCGATCTAGTCTATACTTGTATGTTGTGCACATCACGTAATAAATCTAAACTAATCACCGAAATAAGAATGCATAATATTTTCAAAACTCGATATTATTGTTAGTAGAGGCCGATCTTTGATTGGGCAAGCGAGGGTGCTCACGAAGTGGCATTCCCCAATCGTACCAAATTCCCGAACCGAGACAACTTTGGTGATGATAGACACGTGGCCTTTGGCACGAGTCAGGGTTTCCTAAATTCTCCTAAAATAAAATATTTAGGTGGCGACTCTGTATCTGGCAAAGCAGTCCATGATTGGCACTTCTTTCTAAAAATCTGTTTTCCAAAATAATTTGCCAGATTTAGACTCTTTGATGATTCATCGGTCTTGCATTGCACTCTACGAGATTAGATACAGGACCGTGACATTTGAGTCCCGAACTATAGTGAGCCCAAATGAACAAAACGGGATTTCCCTCCCGGGGCGTTCGAGGACATCTACACTTGGCGATCAAAAACTGTCGTAAAAACCCAAATGGCATAATCTCGACTAAACCCCTCCAAGGAGCACGAAAAACTAGCTACAGATTGTAATTACTCTACTGATAATTTCTGATAAAGGTTTTCAAACCAAAATGTGCGAGAACCAACAATTGGTTAACCACAAAAACCACAAAAGGTAAACTAAGAAAATACCAACCAAATTAATACAAGAGCTACACAATATGTGAACCAGATTTTTTATTTTTCTCGAATAAAAATGTTTCATCAAATTACTAAGTAAAATGCAACATTATTAGAAGAGTAGAGAAACTATTGATTGAAACATTTAAACGAAAGCAAAACATTAAATAAAAATAATATAAAAAAATTAATTAAATAAGGAAAATACACACAGGATAATGAGAAACAAACAATACCTTATTTTATTTTTTCCGACTCCACTCATGCCATCAAAACTTCCACGTAAACAACCTATTTTATTACAAATGAAAAGAAAAAAAATATATAAGAAACTATTTACTCTTGCTTCCAAGCATTGAAACCTATTAGAAAATAAAGCTCTTGCTTTCCAAAAGTTCTTGTTCATTAATATATATTAAAAAAAAAAAAAAAAAAAAAAAAAAAAAAAAAAAAAACAACAACAAATATATACATATATATATGCTAATAAAAATAATGCACGGCAAAAAAAATAATGCAAATAGTGCACTGGAATCTAGACAAAGATGAAGGGAAGAAAAGAATGTAAACCCCTAAGAAGTATTAACATGTCTAGCAATGACAATGAAGTAGAAACATTACCTGAAGACTGAGGGGGCATGTCTCTCTTGGCCTTGTGATCTAGTCTCTGTTTATTATGGGAAATTCTATTTCCACACTTTTTTTGTTGCTGTATACACAATTAATGGGAAAAAAAAAGTTATGACAATTTTATCATGAAACAAAATGACCCTAATGAACATCAATACACACTACAAATTAAATCTAGATTTTCTCTATACACATCTTTAAAAAACAATAATTCTCAATGCACATCTTTTAAAAAAAACAAAAATTAAAACTTAGTTCCTACATTGTTTCTCACTACCTCTATTGTTTTCCAGCACTTGCTACACTCCATTGTTACACTCTATCCATTGTTTGTATAAACTACCCTTATATCAAGTACTGAAAAATTGTAAAACATTCGGCACTACAGAACCAATTTAATTTTAAAAACTCAAAAATTTATAAATAATTCGGAAGTATATAATTGAAAATGTACAACAATTTCGGAATATTGTCTGATTGGTGAGTGACTTCTTATTTCTGAATATTTTTTCTGATTGATCTTTCAGTTCCTTCAGGTTTCAATGGCTGCCAACAACAGCCCCTCTGCCCTAGAAAAAGAACAGGTACCTCATACATATACAGACACTAACCCTATATATGTATGCTTATGAGATAGGCAAAACTATTAACTGGAAAGGATTACTTTTTTGATGATTTTGTGCAGATCACGAAACCCCTCTCTTTTTTTTGAGATCACGAAATGGAAGAACAATAACATATTATTGCTTTTATTGTTGACAAATATTGTAGGATTACGGTGGAACGGTTCGGGAAAGAGGAGAGAGAAAGTGGAATTACCTGAATATGCTTGGGGTCTCCGCAGCAGTTACCTGAAAGTCGGTGGCGATGTCGATGGCCGACGCTGGAAACGAGTTTTCCACGGCGTCCACAGCGGCGGTGTAGCGGTGCGAAGACGATCTGAGAGGGAGAGAAGAACAAGAGGCGTGGGATGCGAAATGGTGAAGTCTTTTGTCTGAGCAAACCACGTCCCCAAAACAAGCCTCTGTGTGCGGCTAGGGTTTCGTAGAGAAACTGGAGAGAGAGAGAGAGAGAGAGAGAGAGGCTTCAATCTGCAATAGTTTTGGAGTCAAGAGCCTCTCCTTGCAAGCTTGTGCTTGCGTCCGTCCTTGCAGGCTTTCGGGTCTACTTTTAGGCCCAATTTTGATAATCCGAACCGTTTATATTTTATGATTTATTCAGTATATCATACCTGTAAAAAATCAAGTTGATCGTACTAAATTTTGATTTGTCAATTATTTTATTAGGTAAGATCTAATCTCAATACCACATTATTAAGAGTTATTTAGAAATGATAAATTAAGAGATGTAACATTGTTAATTCTTGATTCCTATTACCTGTTGCCAACTATTATCCTTTGCTTCCCACCCATGTTTGAATTAACTTTTTCTTTTTAGTTTTTAGGTAGATTATAAACATACCACTAAGGTTTACTTAAAATATATATTATTTATGATTTGAAAAATTATAAATATTCTTTTATCAGAATTTTTTATTTAATATAATTAATTAAAAAAATAAAATTTATAATTACTCTTCTTTATAATAATGAAATTACTTAAATTATTAATTAAAATATCTTTCTAACATCATTAAAAATTATTAGTTGACTTAATAATTTATTAATAAAATGAACGATCTTTTATGAAATTAAAAACTTTAGGGAATGAAATGTAATTTTCAGAAATATTATGTCTCATATTGATTAATAATTTATTAATTATATGAATAAAAAAAATGATCTTCTCATTTCTTTTACTCAACAACTTATATCTTAAATTATTTTATGTTTTTGCATTAATTCTAATTCATTTAGCCATATTAAAAGAAAAATTAATATAATTATGTCAAAAGTTTAAAAAAAATTAAATTTCAAGGTTAGTATAATGGGTTTATTACACTTTATACCCCTAAATTCTCATTAAATTGTCTGTGTATTAAGTCCCTAAAGTATATAGATTAAAAGCTATTTAGTTCCTAAACTATCGATTGAATATATTAAGTTCCTAAGATATTTAAATCAAACCTATTTAATCCCTAAAAATGTTACAAAAATAAAATATAAGCTCATAAATATTATAAATTGGTAAAAGACCCTAATCTAACTAAAATTTTATTTTTAAAAAAAACCTTAAATTTTTATTCTATGTTTAAAAAGTGGGTGTTATTTCTTAGGGTGAATTTTCTTTATGAAGATAAGAGTAATTATCTCTAGTAATTTTTTTTTTTTTTTATCTTCTAAAATGACTGCGTGTGTTTGCCTTAATCTAATATTATATGTCAGATTTTGTTTATAATTATTAATTGATTGTTTTTAAGTTCTTCACTAAGTTTTTTTTATATTATTTTTTTCTATTATTATTTGAAGCAAAATGTTATTATTTAAATTATTTAATTCTACTTTTTTAGTATATGTAATACTTATATAATTTTATTGGCAAGGCTGACAAATCAGACTTTAATATTAATTTAATCACACAACGAAATAAAATGCTTAATAGAGACAAAATAAAAAATTTTGTAATAAATTTTTAATTAGGTAGGGTCTTTTACTAATTCATAATACTTACGAGCATATATTTTAATTTAATAATTATTTTAGGAACTAAATAGATTTGAGTTAAATATTTTTGGAATTTAATCAATTCAATTGATAGTCTAAGAACTAAATATATTTTGATTTATATATTTTAAGGACTTAGGAAACTCAATCGATAATTTAGGAATTAAATAGATAATTTTGTGATAGTTTATGCATAGAAAGTGTAATAAATCCTAGTGTAATGTACCCCATATGTTATTCCAAAACCCAATTTAGAGCCTCTCTAGTGGGCCAAGTTAAAATGGCTTTGACATTTTTTTATTATAGCGGAACTCGTTATTTTGGCACAATTAAGTAACAAATTCAGTTAATTTTTAAACTTTTCAACCATTGAATTGATAGATGTAGTAAATTAAAGTTAATTATACATAAGAGATATAGTGAATGTTATTCAAATGATAAATTTTGAATAATTGACTAAATTTTAATTATTTTTAATATTATTGACTTTTTGTAATTTGTAGATTTTTTATAATTTTAAAGAACTCGTTATTTTGGCATAATTAAGTAACAAATTCAGTTAATTTTTAAACTTTTCAATCATTGAATTGATAGATGTAGTAAATTAAAGTTAATTATACATAAGAGATATAGTGAATGTTATTCAAATGATAAATTTTGAATAATTGACTAAATTTTAATTATTTTTAATATTATTGACTTTTTGTAATTTGTAGATTTTTTATAATTTTAAAATTTTTAATAGAATTTTGATTTGTAAAAATTGTGATTTTTTTTTTTTTTTGGAGTTTTAGTAAGAAATAATGAAAATTAGTGAAAAAGTCTATTTTGAGCAACTTGTTTAGCATAGATCCTATAAATATATTTGTGATCTGATAATTACTATATACTCATCTGGAAAAAAAAAAAATATACAAGCCTACTTTCTAAACACACTGATGTGTCAATAAGATAATTGATTAGAAAATAGTATATTTTATTTACAAACCTAATTTCTAGAAAAGAAAAATGATATACTAGCTCACTTTCTAAATCCATTTAAAATAATATATTTTATTTATTAGGAATTGGATTCTTTTCAGTTAAAAAATTTAACTAGATGGTTTTCTTTGGCTCACTATAAACTCATTTTGGATCCGTTTCAATGATTCAAATTGTTTATTTTGTATGATTTTTCGAGAAGATCATGCACACTAAAAATCAAGTCGATCCGATATTAGGAGCTACTTAATCGGAACACATTTGTTTGAAAAATCGTTAACAGATAGCATAATTTTGAAAATAGTTTGTTAATTATTTTTCAAACAAAATGTGTTCGATCAGTTTGTTAATTATTTTTCAAACAAAATGTGTTCTGATCGAATGACTCGCAATATCAAATCAACGTTTTCCTCCTTTTTTCTATCCAAGACAATAGTCATAACTGCCATAATGTAGGCAGAAGAGAGTAAGAATGAGAAATAAAGGAAAAGAGAAGAATAATGTCATTTCAAGCATACCACAATATTTAAAATGCCACGTGCGAGACACAAATTAAATTTTCACTGGTTTATGTAACGGATCATTAATAGAATGTTTACATTAATACAAATTAATAATTTAATGTGAAAAAAAAACAATTTTTTAGTTTAAAGGGACAAAATCATTATGGATGATAATAGTTCAAGGGTAAGGTGTAATTTACTCTAGACATAAGTAGATAGCTGGTGATTAACAGAGCAAGTTGTACTACCCCTACTGTTTTGATCAAAGGGAATTGATATTTAAAGCATAAAAAGGTTTTTCCTTGGATGAGCTAGAGCAGTTATAATTTTCTTTTCACAAGTAACTCGCATTTTTCTCTCACATATCCTTATCAACTAAGTGCAAAAATTGAATTACACCAAAATTATAACCCTCAGTGACAAGAAAATTGCAAATCAATTTGTTTTTGTAGGCCAGTTTCATTAATTCTCCTCATTTTTTCCCCCTGGATGTAAACAGTCATGACCAAAACTAATGCTCCAAGACATCAATCTCATCTGCAACTCTGCAACTCATTCCCTGATTTTGCAAACTCAATGCTAACTTATATCTCACCACAAGGGTCATGATTTTGAATTCACCACTCACGGAGCATAATTGCTTAATTCACTCACCAATATTGCAAAACTATTTGACCATGCTCTGTCCCATTGCTTTGTTGATTATATTTTCCATCATCAACACTCTCGCTTGCTCGACGTCATCCCATTTCCCTCTTTCTACATAAACATTTGACAACAACACATAATTACCGGAATACCAAGGTTCAAGATCAATAAGCTCATTCACTGCACTTTCCGCAAGCTCCATGTTATCGTGAGTACGACAAGCACTTAGCAATGCACCCCAGATAGTAGCATTAGGGTTCATAGGCATGGTGCAAATTAAATCGTGAGCCTCCTTCACACATCCATTACGCCCAAGAAGATCAACCATCGATCCATAATGTTCAAGTTTTGGATCAATTTGATGCTTTGTAGTCATTGAAGCAAACAAATCCAAACCTTGTTGCACCAACCTTGCATGTGACTTTTAACCCCTAGGCTTCACAGAGTCAGTTCGATTTTTTTTTTTGGGGGGGGTGTTTTAATTACACTTTTCATTTGATTTAGTGTCAGTTTGGGAACATTGATTTAGTTAAAAAATTATTATGAGTTACTATATCGTTTTTATTTTTTTTATATTAATATTTTAAAAGTTAAAAAATTAATTAAAATAAGCAATTCCTAAACGGTGTCTCAAATTTTACACTAATTCATGTAGTTTCAAATTGAATAATTTAGTTACTACATTTTAAGTGTAGCAATGACCAATTGGGGTATGATATCGTGTAGATGGTGGTTGAAAAGATATTTGAGATTGACTTCAAATAGACCTGAAACGTTAGAAATGAAGAACAACTAATCCATCGAGATTTTAGAGAACAGAATTTGGATTTGTTTGGGGTTGTGAGGTAAGAGCTGGGACAACATTAGGAATGACCCACTTATCTTCATCATCCTTTGCATAGGCTTGGAGGACTTCTACCCAAGTTATAACTTGAACTTAAAAAAAATTCACCAAATACAAAAAATAAAATAAAAAAAATATGAAAATTTAATACATTTTTATATTTTGTTATATTCAATGAATTTTTTAAAGAATTTTGTACAATTTTTTTACTTTTTAAGTATATTAAGATTAAGTAAATCTAAAAATTTAAAAAAAATTAAAATATCATTAAAAATGTAAAAATATAAATTGAAAACTCATAAAATTATTTTTATAGTGAGTAAAAAAAATTGATGTCACATTTAATTTTTTTTTAATAAAATTTCAGTTTAAACATATTGTCAAAGGCCTTCTAAAAGTTATTTAAGTAGAATTTGACTATTTTAATTGGTTTTTTTAATTTTGTTTTGACTATTTTAAGAACGTTTCGGGTATTGTTTATAAAATGATTTTTTTATTAGGAAAAGACGTACGAAAAAGTA